GCTGCCCTTTTACCCTAAATTCCACAGGGCAGTAATATTTTTGCTGATAATGTATCAAGCCATAGTGCACACATTTTGGCAACTAAAACTCATTTCTGAATCAGCAGGGACCAAAGAGAGTTTCTCAGATCAGGGAAACCCAAGCTGGGATTCCCTTTGATCTAGTTTAGTTTAGGCCCTGTGTAATATGAATATATCAGAATTAGAAAATAAACTAAAATGTACTAAAGCAAAGTAAAAATTTTTTAAGTGCTGCTCCTATTATATGCTATTTACATGTGAACAATTTCAACAATGCTTCTTTTCAATACGGATACCAAACACTGGCTAATAAACCAATTTCCTACAAGTGCTCCCTTAATTACTTTGAAAGCATACAGTAACAAGATGTGCCTTGGAATTATTACATAAACTTAAAATCAAGAATGAATTTTACCAGAGATTTTCTGTTTCAAAACTCTAAATGAAGTCTACGTGGCTATTATGCTGTAATATAAACCTGGGCCACGAGGAAGGGAAGTTCTCATCTCATTTACATTATTGTAAAGCAAGAGTAACTCAATTAAAGTCAATAGCTTTGAACTTTCTTAAACAAGACAGGACCTATAAGGGATTACAAGGTTGTTTTAAGCATGCCCAGTTAGAAAAAAAAAGAGTCTTATCAGGTTTTATTTACATGGCCTGCAGGAATTCAAGTGGTACTGCCTCACTTTGCTGCTACTAGATTGTTTTTGGGTGCAATTTAGCACAGCTCTATGTAGTATTTTAAAAGCAGATCTCTAATTTCTCCTCATGCTCTGCCCTCACTCCCTCCCCACCATCCCTGCAAAAAAATAAAAAAGCTAATATTAATTGCAAAGCCACAGACAGCTTTACATTATAAATAGGTAAAGTCTTGAAGACAGCAAACACAGGAAGTTTTCACTCACATATCCAGATCCAGACTGAAGGCAGCAGGGTAATCTAATCTGATTTCCTGTATATCATACTCATAAAATGTGAATCAAATTATTCTTAGGACCATAACTCGGGTTTGACTAAAGCAAGTCTTTCTGAAACACAACAGGCCTAAGATGAAAGCCTTAGAGAGAGGGAATTAGTCACCTCCCTCATGACTTCATTCTGCCTTAGATTTGCCCTCACTTTAAAGAAATTTTGATCATGAGTTTGTTTATATTCAGTTAATCATGTTCTTCCCTGATAGATTAAAGAGCCTGCAGAGTCTTTGTCCCTGTGGAGATACTCAGATTATAAAAAATCTTTCAATCTTTTTTTTTGTTTCTCTTAATACCCTGAGGAAGGCTGAGCTCCTTAAGACTCTCACTGTTAAGCTTTTTCAGTCCTTGACACTTTGGAAAGGCTGTTCTCTGTGTTTGGTCCTATATTTTAACACTGATGCATAAAGATGCATATTGTATGTTTGTATCATCTTCCTGCTGCCACGTAGAAACAGGAATACTCCCCCACCTACCCTAGAACTCGTACATGCAGCTTCTCTGACTAAAATACATAGGCCCAGTTGACATGGGGGTATAGCTTGCTGTTTGCCTGGTCTGCCCCCTGTATCAAGCACAAGGTTTGCTGCTGATATGTTAAAAATTTACCTTGGATAATTAGATGCACTTGTTCAAAACCTAAAAAAGGCCCAGGAGAATAAAAAGCTGAGCTCTATTAAGGAGCAGAAAGAGGGAAGCTACAGAGGGAACCAGTGCATGTTTAAATACAGAACCTGTTCTGCCATCATTATAGCGAAGATGGAGAAGAGACTGCAAAAGTGAAGCTTGCCTCATGAATAAGGAAAATTACATTAAGACATTAAAACTGACATGACTGATATTAAGAAAAATCAGATAGTGACATCTTTAGCTTTTCTTTTCAACAAGAACTGGTCAGTAAACATGGGCCAGGGAGATACAGGATAAGCATTGTCATAAATACAGTATTTGGTTAGTTGTTAAGGCTGGAAATTAATTAAACATACGATTAACACTGATATCCCTTCAGCTTGGAAAACAGCTTTCAGTCAGGTTAGGTCACCTAGGCAATTTCAGATATACATAGAATCATAGAATTGTTAGGGTTGGAAAGGACCTCCAAGATAATCAAGTCCAACCATCAACCTAGCATCACCACCATGTTTACCACGAAACCACGTCTTTCAGTTCCATATCCACATGGTTTTTTAACACTTCTGGGGATGGTGACTCCACCACTTCCCTGGGCAGCCTGTTCCAATGCTTTGCAACCATTTCTGTGAAAAAGTTTTTCCTAATATCTAATCTAAACCTCCCCTGACACAACTTGAGGCCTCATCCTCTCATCCTGTCACCTGTTACTTGGGAGGAGAGACCAACCCACAGCTCCCTACAACCTCCTGTAAGGTAGTTACATGGAGAAGTAAGGTCTCCCCTCAGCCTCCTTTTTTCCAGGCTAAACATCGCCAGCTCCCTCAGCTGCCTCTCATATGACTTACTCTCCAGACCCTTCACCAGCTTCATTACCTTTCTCTGGACACACTCCAGAATCTCAATGTCTTTCTCATAGAGAGGGGCCCAAAACTGAACACAGTACTCAAGGTGCAGCCTCACCAGTGCCAAGTACAGGAAGACAATCACTTTCCTGGTTCTGCTGGCCACAGTATTGCTGATACAAGCCAGGATGCCATTGGCCTTCTTGGCCACCTGGGCACACTGCTGGCTCATGTTCAGCTGGCTGTCAAACAGCACCCACAGGTCCTTTTCCTCTGGGCAGTTTTCTAGCCACTCTTTCCCAAGCCTGTAGCACTGCATGGGGTTGTTGTGACCAAAGTGCGGGATGTGACACTTCACCTTACTGCACCTCACACAACTGGCCTCAGCCCATTGATCCAGGCTGTCCAGATACCTCTGCAGAGCCTTCCTACCCCCCCACTCAGCATGGTGTTATCTGTCAACTTGCTGAGGGAGGACTCGATCCCCTTATCCAGGTTGTTGATGAAGATATTAACTAGGGTTTAATTTTTTAATTAATTTTTATCCAATACTGAGCCCTGAGGAACACCACTTGTCACTGGCCACCAGCCACTCTCTGGGCCTGGCCATCCAGCCAGTTTTTACCCAGCAAAGAGTACACCAGAAGCCAATTCCTGAAGTGAGGACTCAGGATATTCCTTCCCTTGGGACCCTTGGAAAGCAGGACTCACTGCAGAAAGGCAGCTTTCCAACTCTGCAAAGCCATATGAAATGAAATATGTATTGATTAAATTTTTATACAAGGACAAAAAAATCCTTGAAGTTACCTTTAAAAAAGAAATGGTCCCATCATGGCATGTTGGGTTGGAAAAGCTTGACATGTGTACATGCTTAGCTTAGCTGATGCACACGGAAAGTTACATCAGAGCAGTTATCTGAATTTAATCATGGTGGTGGGCATGCAGAGTATTTGGGTGGTGGCAGTCTTTCACCTTACCAAGGATAACCTGCTCGAAGATTTAATTTTCCCTCACAACTGGGCTGCTGACATCGGAGTGGAAAATAAATCGATGTGACAACTATGTAAAGACCTGGGCAGCGAAAAATTCCACCAGAAAGGCCTCTATTGAAAGCTGAGAATTACATAAAGCTTAAGGAACATTAGGAATCAAGCCTGCTGGTTTATAGAAGTGCAGAAGGGGCATACATCTCTGGTCTCTACAACACTGGTTTATATTAAGCTTTATTTTAAGAGTAATGATTTACATTAGCTGTGTTTCAGTCCCAGTGCCAAAGATGCCAAATAAATATCATATACTCTCCAGGGCTTTCCACCACCCTTCCCCACTGCATTTTAACCATGCAAATTAGATAGAATTGACATTGGAATGCTTAAGTCTGGGAGAGAACGATGGATTTCCCATCCTAGGGGCATTTTTCATCCTGTTTATATGAATACAGACATGCCGGGCATATACTGCTCATTAGACGGGTTACAGAATATTCAGCATGCAGGTACTCAGTCACTGGCCTGATTTGTAAGGTCCAAAGGCAAAGTTAAACCCATATGAGTTCACAAGCAGTTCTTAATGAAGCCAAGGGACAAAGAGGTACCACCCAAGACCTCGAATAGTTCAAAATGGCACTGATTCCTTTTCCATTATGAAAGAGGAAAGCAGGGGATCAACATTACTCTCAACATGTTAGAGCAATACCCAAAGAAGTAACATATGCACAGAGGCACCTCCATCTCTAGACTCCTATGAACATAAGCACATTAGTCATTGTGGCATCCCTGAATGCTACACTAATACTGACTCCTTTTATAGTCAGGCAAATCCAGAACCATAGAAGCCTTGCCTAGCCAATGTAGCACTTCTTAAATCCATCACAGTTCATTCTCAGTGGCCTGTCCCAATACAGCACTGCAGCTGCTGAGCTGAGAAGATCTGCTGTTATCAAGCAGGAGGGGGAGACACAGTCTCAGCTTTCCATCAGTTTCCCAAAACCAGAGTTTTTTCAACAGGCCTGACCTGTTGCTCTTTCCAAAAGGGGTGGACAGGCAGCTGGTCAGAGGGGAGGGCCATAAAAACCAGCTCCTCTCCTCATCGGCGGCTGGCTGCAGCCTCACAGCAAAACCACAGCACTGGTACTGCCAAGAATTCAGTTCACATTCTTCAATCCCTGTGGTAGCCACTAGGCCACACGGTCTCCTTCAATGCATTTGCATTTTATTAGGTTTTTTCATGCACCAAGGGACAAAAGAACAAGCCACTTCCTCCCACTGAGCTCTCATTTCACACTTCAAATGGTCTCTACTAACCTTTATGGTGAAGCAGCTGCCAGGGAGGAGGGGTGGGAGAAGGCAGGCAGTGCTAAGATGACTGGACAAAGCAGTCTCTGAAGATGCAGCCTCAGATCCTCTCCCAGCAACCCAGAGGAACCCAAATCAGTCAGAGCAACACCTTACCCTCTTGCCCCCACCTCAGGGACACTCAGACCTCTGCAACCACCTGAGTGGCGTTCAGTCAGAGTGCTTTCTGGACTCACCTCCCACCCCCAGTAGGTGCTGCTGAGTTAATAGCCTGTACCATGTCTGTTGTCAGAGCATCAAGTAAGCTGGTAATAAATTCAACTTTCTTCCCTTCTGGGCAGCCTGCAAAAAGAAAAGAGGAGGTTTAATGCAAGAACACATAGGCTTGGTCTCCTACCCCAATTCAGCAAGGATCAGTCAGAACCTCCTTTGTTTTTAAGACGACAGCCATCAACACAGTCCCTAAGGAAAGGCAGAAGAATCCCTCAGTGGGATTCTCTGCGTGGCAATTTGTCCTGCAGCTTTTGTCTAGGCACATGCAGGGTCATCACCAATATCTGGCAGGAAGACTGTGTGGTTAGCTTTATGGTCTCATCCAGTTCTCTACCAGCAAAACCGAAGGGATGTGCTGGAAGCACCTGACAGACAGGAGTTCCCATGGTGACACTTGCAGAGAAGTTTACAAAACAACTCATTACCTCCTGGGTCATCTTGCAATGCAAACATGGTTGTTCTGAGGTCCTAACTGACATGTTAAAAGTCTGATAAGAGTACTTTAAACATACATGCTTAAAGCTTCACAGAGCACAAAGCAAGGTCTGCCACTTGCACTCTCCTCTTCAGGCACAGAGAGCACTGCCTACCAGCACCTACCACAATAATTCAGTTCTTTGCATGATCACATTCATAGGAAATATGTTAATCTGAGTCAATATGTGGCAGTCACCCCCAGTCACTGCTGGCTTAAACAGGATAAAGCAGGTTGAAGATGAGCTTGGTAACCATTTCCATTACTTAGTGAGGAGGCCACCTAGTTCCCCACCATCATAACCACAGACTGACAGAGCCTCCTATCCTAAACAGCACCATCCTGTTATGATGAAACTCTCCATCTCCTTACCTTTAAAAGGCAGTCTGTGCTGTTTCCTTGCATTCTTAAAGCATGCTTCACTTATTACCACATGAATACTGTAACAATTGCTCTAGCCTACCACAGAACAAGCATGCTTAACTTCAACCCACCACCTTCGAAACTATTGTCAAAACCCCATCACCCTCCCATCCTATTGTCTTCCCTTGATGTGACAGAGAAGCCATCACTACATCCCTCACCTCTTTCTCCAAACCACCATGCACTACACCAATTACTCAGCTGATTAAGGCAGTAGACATCAGAAAACAGCCTCCCACAGCAACATATAGCACTGTCAACACTTTCTGCTTTTCTTGAACAAGAGAGAAGCCCATGTACCCCAAAGAGAGCACCAGAAACTTACTGTCATCCCTTGACAGCTGAAAGCAGCTTGCAAACTGATCTGACAAAACTCTCTCCTTTGCAGTGTTACAGGCTCTGTTCTCTGCAATAGCTAACCAACAGTTCTTTGCCTGTCTCCGTATTACGTACATTACACACACGCACACCCCTCAGCACTTGTTTGGCACGTGGTCCAGAAAATGTCAGCATTGAATGGGTAAGCTGCTATTGCAGACAGAGTAGACCACTCACTTAAAGGAGCTTTTTGTTGAGGTAATGAAAAGGATGAAAAACTGCTTGCTAGAAGGCATTTCCCTGGGGTCACAGCATCTCACAGTCTGCAGGAATTAGCAGCTTGTCATTTGCTATGCACAAGCAACACTTTCCTTCCTTCTTTCTTTTTTTCTTCTAGCCATAGTCATGACAGTTTCTGAAGAGGGTATGTGTACGTGTGCAAGGATCTGAACTTATGTCTCCTTCACCTTGGCCTCTGCAGGGTCTCTCCACACAGGCCAAGGAGCACACTGCCTGCAGCACTGAGAGTCTTAAGAATGGTCAAACCTCCAGAAGAGGCATAAAGTAAGGGGCCCCCTGACAGAACTGAGTGCAAATGGAACAATCAATCTCAAATTAAAGCAGGGGTTTTTCTTAAAATTCAGTTCTGCTAAGAAATAAGAGCAGAAAAAACCCAAAAGAAACATTCTCATCCCCTGCACTTCTGAATTTTTGCATACAAGAGCAGTTAATCAAACAAACCTCAAGACTGCATTAAAAAGATCATGCAGCACAGCATCTCAGGTAGACAAATTAGCATTAGATCCCCCATCTCCTCATCTCTCCATAGATGGGTATTTTCAGTGACAGGAATCACCACAGAATCACAGCATGTGGTTAGGGTTGCAAGGGACCTCAAAGATCATCTAGTTCCAACCCCCCTGCCATGGACAGGGATGCCATTTACCAGATCAGGACCCCATTCAATCTGGCCTTGAACACTTCCAGGGCTGGAACATCTAAAACTTCTCTGGGCAACAATCATGCCAACCAGTGCAGCCAAATGCAGAACTTAAAGTTTACTTGGGCACGGAAAAGTGGCTTGAACTGAGGGCAACTCTCCTGCAGTCTAATATTGGGACCAGACCACTAAGCTACAGAGCATCCTGTGTCTTCTTCTGCATCAAGCAGTTCCTGTCCCCTTGTCTGGCTTCAGTGAAGAAGGGAAAGGAGAAGGGAAATTAAACCATTCTGTCTGAGATCATCAATAGAGTCTCAAAGAAAAAGCCCATAAGCAAAGGATTTTCACAGAGGAGCTCTGGAGAGGTAGGGGTGAAGTGCAAGGACAGGCAGTAAAGGAATGGGAGAAGGGGATGGGGAAATCAAGGAAGTAAGGTTATTCTATTTTAGTGTGATTTCCTAAGGAAATGAGCCTTAATGCAATCATTTAGCTGGTTTCCCTCCACCTATCATCCAACTTGAACCCATTGGTCAAGTTCCTTTGAATGTGGGAAAAAGGCAGATAGAATTTTCTACATGACTTGTGAAAATGAGGAGCTGCACAGGAGAGAGCCCTGCTGATGGCAGAGTTGCTAAGCGGAAAGCTCTGGGGTCTGAGGTCAGGAGCCAGCAGGAAGAGAATTAGAAGACACAGAAGGCAGATCTGGTACAAATCTCATTTTCTTTGTGAACATGCTCAGGAACAACTCATTTTATGCTAGCCATAGAGAGGACCAGCAGAAAGTAAAGCAGATCCAGAGCTAACAGCTCTTTCTGCGGAGTTATTGGTCTCTACCACTCCCTCATGATGGAGAGGGACCCCCTGTAGCTTCTGTTTTCAAGCAGTCCCCACCCAGGAGAGCAATGGTTGACTCAATGTCAGTGAAGACCTCCTCACTCTGCTCCTTAGAAAGGCAGTAGGAAGGAAAAACCAAAACACAGGCAGATGGGATAGCATTTTTAAGAGCCACACAGACAGCTATGCCCAGCAAATGTTCCTAGCAGAAAAAAGGTGGGCAAACAGTAAATTATGGCTTGTCAGGGAAAAGCAGAATAGAAGACAAGCAGCACTGGGAAATAAAGTGCAACCCAGGCAGAAAACAAGGGATAAAGTTCAGCTAAGCGAGAAGTCATCATTAGCTAAGGGATTTTAATACACCAGGAATGCTGTCCTACCTGGTCCATGCAGTGTCAGGGAGCAAAGTCAGTCAACTAACAATTGCCAGTTGTGTCCTCTTTCATAACTCAAGGGGCACCAAGTTGCTGAAAAGCCCTACTGAATGGAAAGGGTCCTGTCCTGGTCAGAATTTGAAGAACATTCAATGCTGAGCCCATTCTCCCCCCAGGGTATTTTTTGGCATCCAGGTTTCTTTCCTGAAAATTCCAATTCCAGATATGTTTTCAAAGGGCAGACAGGCAATAAACAGGTCCCCCAGGACACTCCCAGCCTTTTCCAGCTCACTGCTGAAACCAGAGATAATCCAAAATAATACAGAACAAACCCCACGGTAAAGCATGCATGAGGAAAATCTCTCATCTCCTCAACAATATTCTTGACCTCTTAAAGAGTCCCAAGGTGAGACAAGGTAAGAAGGGAGAGACAGTATCTTGTTCCTCTGACCTGGAAGTTCTCTGTCCTTGAATGGATCATCAACCTCTGTGCTCTTCGATCTGGCATCACTTTCACACACTGGAGTCTCATAGCTGAAAAAGGAAAAGTTCAGAAGCTGAACTGTGTGGCACAGCTTTAGTGACATCACATGATCACCAGTGGTTTGTGCCTTATCTGCTTACTGCAGGGGAAACCAATAAACCTGCAGAAGAAATACCATTCTCAAGCATCTGTTTATGGACAGTCAGCAACAGCAGCAGAAGTGGAAAGAGAAGGAAGAACACACTATGAAGTCCAGTACCAGCTACCAACTGAAACCCACTAAGAGGCACAAGGCCCTCTTCCATTCCTCGTGGGCATAGGCTGATAATTTTTTCAAAGCTGTCCATGCTCTGCAGAATCACTGTACCTATCGGAGTTTAGGTCCCAGCTCCTAATGGGCTGTTTTTACAGCTTGCCAGACCCACAGTTTGTTTCCAAACCCCAAGTGAGAAAAGAGTCCCCAGATAGTTTTAAGATAGAGAGTAACTGGGGAAAAAAAAATAATCACTTGTTAAAATCTGCTAATGCACAACCAAGCAGTCTTCTAAATCCATACTGATCAGGATTCAAGTGGCTACAGCATGGAATTATAAAGCAGATGATAATGCAAAGCCACTTGTCTTTTCACTGCTCATGCCCATAACCTGTACTGAAGCAAAGCATCAGTTCCTGATACCACCCAAAAGCTTCAAGCCACAAAACAAAAAAGGTTGTTTTGAATGAGTACTTAACGCAGAGAAAAAGTAAGGACAGTAGTTTCTATCCAAATCCTATGGAGAGGGAGATGCATAGTAACACTCAACAGGGAACATCACATATGGCATCGCTCACTCTAAGGAAGGTAGTGCAGAGCTGACTGCTCTAGAGTGAGAAACTGATTTGATATTGCACTAGCATTTTTTTTTATATCTTTTCTTTCCAGCACCTCACCAGGCCTGCCTATAGCTCTTACCGAGTGGAAGTACCAGGCAGAGGACGTCCTGTGTCCACCAGGACACACCAGCAGTACCCAGTAGACTGGTGGCATTGCACTGGTTTGTAGAGTCCTCCAGGAGCACACTCGGGGATGACAATACCCTCGCGGGGATTCTGCCTGGCCTCCTCCAGGGCACTCTGCCTTTCCTGGTCGCAGGAGTGAACTTTCTCTGAAAGACAGAGAGGAGGTTGAAGGGAATGGGAAAAAACCCAAATCGAGATCACTTTTCTATGCTCAGCAGGATATAGGTATCCTTCACATCAGGAGCCCTTTGTGGCTGTTTCCCTCTCATCAAACACCAGTATGTCTACATCCCCAGGAACTCAGAGCCTTCTACATTGAGAGCTTTCTCCTACATTTAGCTGTGACACAAGATTATGGATTATAGACATTGACTGTCAAGTGCCCAGCATGTCAGAAATAGCAGGAAACACTCTTCCTGATCACTTGAGTTCTGGAACTGAACTAACAGATAACAATAATTCACTATTATTGCAGCCACGAGGCGAGCATTTCCCAGATTATGTTTTCGCAAACTGATGGATCCTAAATTATGACTTGTATTTTCCAGTTAAACAAAAGGAGGCAAACACCCTACCCTACCCCACACTCTTCCCTCTCAACCTGCTCCTCTTGGGATCATGTTGGAGAGATGCTATTATGTTTTAACACCTCCTTATCCAGTGCAGAGAGCACCTGCACACACCTCAGCAGGGAACAGAATAGGAACAGTTCTACCCACACTGCCAGCACCTCTCCACCCTGGAAAACAAAGGGCACCCAACACTGCTTCCTACCGAGGGGTAGGTAAGGCCCAATCCCTTAATAACCTATTAAACAGAAAAGGTTTAATAGGTTATCATCAAACAGAAAACAGAGTACAGAGGTAGTTCTTTGGCAGGAACCCAAGAACAGAAGAAGCCCAGAAGGGGCTTCTGCAGCCAGCCTGGCACATAGGGCCCCAAGGTCACCTCTTCAACCACCACCTGCAGAGCACTGATGGATGCATGGAGAGTGCTAGGCTGCTGCCTCTTACATGGACCAGCCATTTAAGGGGAAAAATAAGTACAGAATAAATGTGGAACGCTAAGATCAATTTGGCTCAACAACCAGAAGTTCTCAAGTATTCAAGCATTCTGCCCTTTAATGAGTAGGAAAATTATTTCACTACTGAAGGTATCACAGTGAAAAAAAAGCAGTCAAGGCAGCTGATCACCTGATTTAATGCATGTCTAAGTCTAGGGTAACAAAAGACAACAATCTAACTTTTATCCTTAGGAGAGTGATGAAAAACAGAAGCAGGAACAGTTGTCCTCTTCTTCCCTAGCCTTCCTCTCCCTTGCAGTTTACTGTGTTTTTTCTTTTTTTTTTTACACATAAGGCACAAGACCCGTAACTCCTTGCCACAGGCAAGAACTCCTTCAAGTTTTAAATACGGAATATTCTTCAACATGGACCAGCAATGACACCACAGATTCAACCCAAATCTTTAGATGTTTGCACCAGCAGCCAGCAGACATGGCATGACCTCAGCATCCTGCTCCCAGGTCTGGCTCAGCATACAACTAACACACACTCACTGTTTGCTTGTATTTTGCCTGCCTGTCTGCACACCATTGTGTCTTTTATTTTGGTGATAAACTATGATGTTGAGAGTAATTTTTGTTCCGTATTTGGGGAGTAGAAGGGGTGCCAATTCACAGCTAGAATTCCTCAGCTTGGTGGCAGCAGGTGCAACAAAAAACTCCAGCAGTTCCATGCAGCATCACCTGAGTACAGCACGCTTGGGTACCAGAAGAACTTTTACTGGTTGAAATTGAACTGTAGCTGAACGAGTCTTAAAACCCAAAATGGCCTCAGCTCTCCTCAGCATTTCAGATCACTGTCAAGGCTGGGAATGTGAAGGGCACCAAAACTTTGCCACACACAAACCCAAAACTGTGTTATTCAAAACACAGAACAAAAACTTTGAAGTGCGGCAAGTCTGACTCAAGCAGAGAAAAACTTGACCAGGAAGGAGCAGAAGGGGATAAAGTCAACAAAAACTGAAAGGGAGCTCAAGCCTCAGCTGATATTTAAGCTGACTTCACTCTGCTGACAGACTTCACATCTGAAAAAAAAAAAAAAAAAGACGCCGCAACTGTTCCCAAGCTGTACATGGACAGAGAAGGCATTGAGTGAGAGGCTTGCAGGCTCTCTAACAAACCACTTACATCAGAGAGGCCCCCTCTTACCCACAGTCTGCCAACAGCAATTCACACCTTGGCCATCAGGTGAGGCAAATCATTCATGCAGCTTGGGTAAGCAAAAAAGCAGGGGCAAAATTCCGTATCATCTTTATATTATAAGCAAAAGAAAAAAACTACTAAAAAGAACTACATTCCAGGAATTTTTCTATCTAAATCCCCAAAGCTTCCTGAGTGCACAAAGTCAAAACAAGATTTCTCAAGTCCTTTGAGTCTTGCAAAACTAGCAGTAAAACTACTCTGAAACAAAATAAAGTGGGTTTTCTTTGTCAGAACAGAGAAATATGCTACTTTTATTAAAATCAAGAAAAAAATGTCTTTAATGAATTAGTATCTTATTTTACATATATTTGCAGCTAGGTATGCAAATTACACAGAATAAATGTACATATACACACATTTGTGCTATGCCATAAAAAAAGAGAAAAAACACTCTGCAAGTATTAACAGAAATTTGTGGGAACTGAGTAGTCACAACATTTACTACCAGAATACATAACTAACTGGTAGTTGTTTCCTGTTTGAATGGTGTTTAAAGGCTGAGTGAAACAAATCTTAAAGCCTTTGTTCAGTTGATATCAAATAGATATCATGGTGCAAACTCTGCCATCGTCACCAGAATTCAGTGGCCCATCATTAGTAATGATGCAGTACAATTGAAATAGCAGGGAGATCACAGTTTTCTCATTTCTAGTATACATCTAGAAGCAGCTGCTATGAAAGTTCCTCCCTGCATTACAGATTTCTACTTCATCTCTTTTACATGCTGAAGTGTCCCAGCTGGTAGTTCTTCTCTGAACCCTTTCCAGATCCACCATACCTTCCCTGAGTTAGAGGAGATCAGAATAACAAACACATTGACTCTGACAACAGCCTTGTGGAAAGTTCCTTCAGTGACATCTGTCTAGTAAGCAGAATGTATTAACTAGTACTAGCCCCTGGAGAAGCTCTTTCCTCCAGGCTACTACTCTAACAGCATTTAATTCCCTTAAAAATAAACATGAGTATTAACAGTTGGGGTATTCAAAAGCCAGCAAAATCAGCTGGGAAATCCATACCATCAGCTTCCCTAGAATGGGACTTGGCATGAACTGCATGCACTGTCACCCTGAAAGATGGTCTCCTGAGTAATGAAGGGACCATCAAATGCTATCCCAGCTTCAGGACACTGAAGACTGCCTGTTCCAGTCAAACTGCTTACTGGAAACTTTGCTGTTGTTGCCAAGGCCACATTCATGGAGAACAGTGAAAGCCTATGGCCAAGCTAGAAAGCTTAATGCCAGGTATGAAATTAGGCTGTCATCTTAGAAAGTAGCATATATTTATTATACTCGCAGGGTATTTAAAAGCCTATTCCCTGTTAATGGGAGTTGCAGGCACAGAAAGATAAAGAAAGGTTTTTCTTCTTTCCCTAAACTAAACATTTAGAGAAAGAACATTTAAAACAGCAAGGTGGACACAGTCTTCCTAGGACAAAAAATAATATTACACCCATTTATTTCTTTATTCTAAAGGCACTGCCACATTCTGCTGTTTTCTGCCATCTCTGCTTGTCTGAAGACAACCATCAGCAAAGAAACTAAGTAACACTTGCCAGCTTGCTGTTGCTGGGGAGCAAAACCTTTGTAAATCAGCAAATCTAGATTACAAAAAATCCAATAACAGCAAAAAAAAATAGGGAATGTATACACACACACAAAGAAGAGAATTGCTGGCAGAAATCCATTTTACCTTAACTGCTCAGCTCTAAAATGCTAATTGTTTGTTCCTTCTTACTCCTGGCTGCTCCTAACACTTATTAAAATATATTTTTAAAGTACTACCTCTGAAGCCATGAGGTATTGCAGGAAAACATCGCTTGGACATCTGCAGTTGCACATTATTTCTGCAACAATTTTCCCCTTAGTAATGGCCTTCCGAGAAATACATGGTCAGATTCATAAAAAGGTCTCTCATTCCTGGTCCCTTAAGTACACACATTCAAACATATATCTAGTGCCTGCACAATAAAAATAAAAGTGATGGATGAGGTAAAGGACTCATCTGACTGTCTAATAAACTATATGATGGGGTGTTTGTTTACTCTACAAAGCTGAGAAGAGAGGGTGTCTAGCAGCATCTAGCCAAAGGCTTATGCTTAACAATTCTCATGCTCAGCTTGCAGGGCTAGATGCAGCCAACATGCTGCTCTGGGGACAAGGCAGCCTCCTCCAGCTGCTCTCCTGACACATTAACTCTCATTGCTATCAGAGCCAAAGGACTAAGCATGATTCACTGGGGCTGTGAGGATGCTGTGGATGATTAGGATGGGACATAAGGAAGATCTGCCATCCAACCACAGCAGATTATTTTTTCAATATTGTTCTTTTGCACCCACAATTTTTTTTTTAACTAAAAGAAGGAAACACTGTTACACCAAAATCAAACACCCGTGAAAGTTCCCTACACCCTTGAGACAGGATTTCTTCTTCCAAACTGGGCAAAAGAGAGGATCTAGCCTTCCTCTGTGCTTCTGCCCAGCCCCAATGAACCTATATAAATAGCCTAACCCCAAAGCTACAGGCCCTGCCAGGCAGGGCAGATTCCCTTCTCTTTCCCTCTCTCATTTCTTTTGACCAGAAATTCTGTCTGGACCAGAGAAACTTTTCCCATGGAGTTCCCACAAAAAGCTTCAGTTTTAGTGAACAAGCATTCATCACAAGGGGAGGAAAAGGTCTTTTACTGAAAAATTCTTGACCAATCAACCATTGTTAGTGCTGCAACAGGAACCTGACTTCAAAATACTATTTCAAAAAAATAGAGCACATCTTCCCCAAATTTTTTTTGTTCAACTCCCAACTTTCCCCTCAGTGAGCAATTAGTGCAGCAGAGAACAAAGGGCAGCAGCACAGATATCTAGTGCCAAGTTCCTATTGACATCCTG